AGCGGAACTGCGGAGGGGGGAGGATTCATCAGGGCTTAATGGGGTAATAGGGCCCGCCCTCTGGAGTAGCCGTTTTCCCCAGCGGGTATAGGACCTCTGTATTCTGGCCAGCAGTTGATCAGCTGGATCCAAGCTCGGTGGACTGGTGCCTGGTGCCTTCCTGCTTTTTTCTCTCTAATGGCTTCATGCGTGGTAGCTGACAGTAGGAGTGCCAGGGAAAGGAGTTTGTAAGCCGCTCTCAGACATCTTTGGGTAGTGAAGGGCAGGGTATAAATCTAATCTCTTCTTCTTTTTAATGTTCAGGAACCTGGGCAACTGAGTAAAAATGTGATCAGATCTAGCACACACTTACATTTTAAGAAGGCGATAGGGTTGCCAAGTCCTTCATACTCACCGGCGGGGGACTGTCCCTTGGAAGTTGGCCACCCCGGCTTGCATTGCTGTGGGACGTGAGCGCGTGTGCAAAGCGCGCGCACACGCCGCCTGCACATCACAGGAAGTGACGCACGACGTAGAGCACGTTGGGGGCATGGCCCCGATCAGCAGAGGGAAAACCATAGTTTTTCCTCTGCCGATCGGGGCCACGTCCCAACGTGCTGTACGTGGTTGCGTTACCTCTGGTGACGCAGCCACGCTGTGCTTCGGGGGACGGGGTTCCCCCCGGGGCCCAGTTCCGCGGCGGTGGAAATCGGGCCTCCAAAGCGGGGGTTTACCCGCCACCCGCCCCCACTTGGCAGCCCTAGAAGGCAATCCCGGGGACTCCCCACAAGGCAAAATAAGGCCCAAATAGAAAGCGTGTTGTATTTTAAAGCCCTTTATGGTCAGGGTCTGACATACCTAAGGGACCGCCTTTCCCCATATGTTCCCCCAAGGGCACTACGGTCGGGGCGCCAATATCTTTTGACTACCCCAGGCCTTAGGGACGTCAAATTCGCCGAGACTAGGGCCAGGGCCTTTTCAGTGGCGGCTCCTACCTGGTGGAATGAGCTCCCGGATTAGATCCGGGCCCTGCAAGATCTTGCGCAGTTCCGCAGGGCCTGCAAGACAGAGCTCTTCCGCCAGGCTTTCGAGTAGGAGCCACCGCCGCTACTGTTCCACCAATGCACCGCCGCCAAAAATTGGCGGAGATACCATCAGGGTGCAAGCGGGCCCTGGGAAGAAGACTGGTTATCTTCCGTTTTGGAACTTACGTCGTTG